GCTTCCAGATAGTTTGTCACAAGCAGGCGCAGGCAGCAGCAACATAACAAGCCGAGGAGGTTTTTGCACCGGCCAGAATGCTGACACAGTGGGCCCTGAGACAGAGGCTGCGCGGCCGGGCAGCCGTAGCCGCAGCCGATACCTTGAAGCAGACCCTCTTGACGGCATCCGGCGCAACGGTCGTACCAAACCCACTAGGCCAGAGGTTAGTGAGCTGCCTACTTTAGCTAGCACAGAGAGGGGCAGTCCAGATGACGACGCTCGTCACAGTGATGCCTTTGCAAATCGGTCCCCCTCACCCAAAGGCAACACCAAACAGGATTTGCAGACTCCTCCTAGCCTGGCAACTGAAGCACGGCCCCATCGGATGACGCGAGCAGCATTGGGAAGAAAGCAGCAAACACGGTTGGCGTTTGGGGACGGGGTTAGAGTTTATGAGAAGCAGCTGGAGCGCTTTTTGGGAGCCTTGGTGCAAGCAGATCACAGGTTGATTGGGGCTGATGCCGGACATAGAATCCAAATTGTCGATTGCAGCTTGGGCCTGGAAGGAGAACTTGGGGTGGAGGGATATATGAAAGACGTGTACGGCCAACTTGACTCTGTTTTGTCTCAAAGAGACCCATGGGAGACTCGCTTCAGGGAATTGGAAGCATTTGTCGACAAGAACGGGAGGCTTCCTCGATGGCAGGGAGCTGGTTGCGATCGTGCTGAGGCAGTGCTGGGCAACTGGTTGCGAGGACAGGGCTCGTGCGTCACCTCGCAGCAAATGCCAGCCCACCGACTCCAAAGACTTCTGAATGCAAGATCCGATCTCATCCGCAGACGTGCTGAAGGGTGGATAGCCGGTGACGCTGATGGTCGCTTCCAACAGAACTGCCGAGAGCTGAAGGAGTACATAGAGATGAATGGCCAACTTCCAAGGTGGATCAAAGCCGGGACCGACTCTTCCTCCTCTCGACTGACGATGTGGTTGCAGAGTGTTCGAAAGATTGGAGTTTATGCCAAGCCTGAGAAGAGGAAGATGCTGGAGGAAGTGCATCCTTTGGTGAAAGAGCTCCTCCAGAACTGGGACGACAGGCCTCTACAGATTCACCGGGCACGATGGGAAAAACAGTTGGAGAAAGTCCTCCACATCGTGAAGAAGCATGACCGGCTGCCACACCCAACCTGCGAGCCAGCAGAGTACAAATGGCTCTGGACACAACTCCGACGACTTGACTTTTTGCCGCCTGAGCCGTCAAAGCGACTTCGTAGCTCTCATCCACTCCTTGCAGCAGCTGCCGCCAAGAGTTCGGAACCAGGGGTGCATAGGTCAAGCTTTGCGCTGAATCGCACTGGCCGTGGTTTGCGAAGCAGGGATGCCAATATCCTTTTGCCATGGTGCGTTTGTTGTCTCCTTGTGCCAGTGTTTTGAAGGGTGAGTGATACTGCATCCAAAGCCCCGGCGACAAGGGTTTGCCTAGAACTGGACACCCTAACCTAAACATCATGGACGCAGGTGCTTTTTTCCTTCTAGTCACCCACCAGACCAGTCAGGGGCCGGAGAGGTGTGATACCATTGGCTTCCCCACACAAGCAAGAGAGACTATTGCCATATTGTGGAATTGATGTTGAGTTGATCTTGCAAAACCACCGCCACCCGGGAAAATGTACCATAGCATTTAATGTACAACGACACTGCGTGTTTGTGATGGGTTGCGGTCTGTTTGCTCATGGAATTCACCAAGTCTCTGCCTATAACTCCAGAGGAAACGGACTGCGCCCCTACTCTACAGTAAGCGACTTGTACGGGGACTCCTGATTGAACAGGCCCCAAGCAAAAGAATATGAGTTGCATAGGCCCATCCTCCAGACTAGATAGGCATAGAGGCTGCCCAGCCTCCTCTGCACTGCTATCAGTTTGTGCGGTGGAACTAGCGGACCTTCCAAGTAGCCCACTGGGCGAACTGGAGCCCATGCGCGCAGAGATCTGCAGCTTTAGAGCCTGTACCTCTGCGACCTGAGCCACCGGCCCGAGCGCAGAGTGCTGTCGCCGAGTCATCAGGAGTTCTTTCAACTCCTGTGGGGCGGTTGAGAAGCACCTCGTTGATGGGCCCTGATGGCACAGCGAAGGCGGGGACGCCGTGGCAGCCACCTTCTCCTCGGCCTGGTCGGGGTCTTGGGCGCGATGCGGCTGATGGCTGAGAGGATGGAGGTCGGCTTCGCGTGGTGGAGGATGGATCGGATGGGTCCTCATCCGCCACAGAGGGTGACAAGGACTGAAGCTTCGGAAACTGGACACTTTAAAATTAGAGTTGGCCGTTAAAAACTAGAACTTCCAACTTCCCGAACTTGGCCAACTGGTTTGTGTTTTATCCTAATGTCATAGCTAGGGAATAGTGTTTCGATTGTCGGTTCGATCTCGAGTTACAAGTTGAGCCGTCAGAGGACGGGCAGTTGGCGGGTGCCACACGCTTTGGCAGCAAAGATTGTTGAAGTGAGAGCCTCGCAAGCATTTGGTGAAGTAGGCTCCAAATGGGAGGTTAGACACTCTACTCGCGCTCCTGTCAGTTCTGTTGCCCTACTCGATTCAAGCCCAACTCCTTCTTCCATCAGCACCTCGTTTTGAAGACAATGCTTTCCCAGCACGGAGCATCCTCGTTGTTTTGTGTCGCACCGCACTTCATAACCCAGGACTATAGTCACTAGTCATAGCCAAATTACAGGTTGAACATCATTTTGCTCGTTTTTCTCAAGTGAATGGTCTCGTGCAAACTGACATGGACCTTTCAGGGTCCATGTTAGTTGTCAAGAAGATAGATCCCCATTCCTCCACGCAAGGCTCAGAGGAGCGAGATGTGGCCTTCATGGAGCGTTTGCGCTGCCTGGCGCGGGAGGCCCTCAGCTGGGCTTGGCTCACTCCGCAGCAACGGTTGGTGTGGGCCGCGGCCATCGAACTGGATGCCGTGCCTCTGCAGGAGAGCGACCGTGTGGTTGTAGTCAAGTTTGGTGAGAAAAACATCAAACATAAAGAATATTTTTTGAATGCTTTCTGTTTTTGATGCATTCTTTTCTTTCACATCCACTGCCAGTGGTTTTCGCTCGATTTCGATTTCCAGTCTTGGAGGGTGACTGTTGTTAAAACAGCGCCTCATCTCTTTATTCGCTGTTGACAGGAGCTGCCTCCGTGGTTTTTCGAACGCCACAACATCACTCGTAGATGTGCAGGTGAGGATGCAAAGAGAGTTCAAACCACCCTTGTGGGAAGTAGTTTCTTTTCCAAATATTTCTCATCATGATGGTCGACAGTACTAGATCCAGGACAGTCACTACAGTAAGGAAAAGACAAACTCATTCTTGCTTTGTCAAAGCTGTGACTTTAATGAAAGCTATGTAGCAAGCCGATGACCCGTGCAATTGAACATTTAGACATGACATGTGTCATGTCTTAAGACAAGCGGCCTTGGCATGTCCCTGGAAATCACTGGCAGGCGTCGACCTCCTGAGCCTGGATGGTCGCCACGCTGTGCGCTGCCTCGATGGAGCGGTGCCCTTTACAGAAGTGCGGCGGTTCCCGCGAGTGGCGCGGTGGCTTTACAAGGTCTGGGCGAGTCTCATTGATGGAGCATCGCACGGGATTGATGAAATTGCCGATAGTGGAAGAATCCTTCCTTTGTGGGGCCATTGTGGGAATCTTGAGGCTCTATGCCAAGAAGGCTTGTGCACTTTTTCCCACCTTGATCTTGCTGGAAGGCTGCCAATTGCTCACTGGTAACGCCGACGTCACGGTTGCCGAAACAATCCAAAGCATGGCTCGAATGCTCTTGTGCCCAGCATCGCGCTATCCTAAAGCCAGACTTGCGGAGGCTCAAAGCTGTGGGTTGGTGACATGATATTCGCAGGCAAGGAGATCCACGTCGGGAGTGTGGCTTGAATACGGATCCCACCAAGAACTATTCGATAGCGACAGTGTTCGCGGGGTATGACTTTGCTTCAAGTTTGGACCATTGCGTGGTAGTTTGCTTAGGCAGGTTTGGTTGCAGGTTCTTGAAATCTTGGTTCGTGTAATGCGCTTCTCCCCGCGAAGGCTGGCTTCTGGCGGCAGCACCTCCATTGCTGAGGATGTGGATGGCAGGGGTCCACCTCTGAGGCCATGTCAAAAAGACTGCTTGGAGGCTTGTGCAGAGGGTGCACGGGTCATTGAGATGGCGTGCGGCACAGGGAAGACACGGGTCATCAAGGAGATTGTCAAGAACATTTCTGGAAGGGCACCTCGAAAGCCAAGAAAGAAGCTCTGAGGGTAGGCCAGACCCTGTGGCCAGACTTTTGTTTATCCTCTCCAAGCTGTGTGCTGGTAGGTTTGTGGACATCAGGTTTCAATGTGTCCAGCATTTGGGTTGATTTCAGCTTCTTTCAGCCATGCAAAATGTTCGAGAGAGATCCAGGGGGTCAAGCGAGTGTTTATTGCGATAGACCGCCACCCCAACTCCAAAGTCTCCAGAGTCTAGTCACTAGTCTAATCTGAGGTCTTGATCACAGTGCCCTTGCGTGCCTTGCTTGACCAGCTTGCCCCGGACTTCCCCGGCTTCTGCAAAGTGGGCACGGGTCACAACAAGAAGATCAGCTTCGATGCCCAGGGGTTTATAGCTGTGACGGATTCTGTTCATTTGCTCCAGAACTTGCACTTTGACTCGATCTTTGTTGATGAAGCACACCATCCTCAGCCATCCGGCATGCCTAAAGGCAACCAGACGTATCAGTTCTCTGCTACTCACAAAAACGCGCCCGACTTTCACTACAGCATGGGACAGGCGATTGAAGATGGTGTTCTTTCTGATTATGACATCACAGTACCGGCAATAAGCCAATGCCATGCATATGTATGCTTGGCGAATTTGTTGCTCAAGCAAGCTGGACGTTTTCGCCGCGTGCTTGCTTACTGCAACACTGTATCTGAGGCAAGACGGTTCCGTATGGTGTTGGAGGGGTTGGGCCTTGCTGCGTGGCACATGAATGCCAGAACACCGCTGAAGAGACGACAAGACACAATGGAGGAGTTTGCTGGCGACTTGAAGAAACCAGTGCATGTCCTTGTGACCGTGGAGGTCTTGGGAGAGGGGATTAACATTCCGAATGCGGACACGTGTATGTTCGTGGAGCCGCGACGAAGCTACAGGAGCATTGTGCAAGCCATTGGGCGGGTATTACGAGATCACCCTTCCAAGCTGATTGCACACATTGTGCTGCCAGCAGTGACGCTGCCCAAGCGCAAGCCATATAGCTCAGTTGCACGGCAAGTCGATAGTGACGAGGAATACCCATCAAGCGTGTTCTCAGCCCTTCGTGCAGACCTGAAGGAAGCAGGAGACCAAGTGTTCCACAAGAAGGATGTGCAGACTGCGCGTGGAGTTGACAAAGTTCACAGTGAAGCTGACAAGTCGTACAGTGACGTGCAGGACTTTGCCCATGGCAATTCTGACCTGTCAAAACATGAGGTTGAGGAAGCAGCTAAATCTAGCCACTCAAGTCGGCATCAACACTTCACTGTTCCAAACCGTGAACCTTCGGTGAGGGCGGTACCCTCGCCCCATGAAGAGCCACACCTTGAGCGCTGGAATTCCAATCGGTCGGGACATAATGAGAAAGAGGATGGTGGCGAGAGAGTTTGGGAGACAAAGAAAGGCTTTCGAGCCACAACTAGGCGTGCTGCGGCAAGTCATGCTAAACTCCAAGAGGCTCTTTCAAACCCAAGCAGTGACAGACATCTGAAAGGTGCGAGCACCACCTGGAACGGCCGAGGGTTGAAGCAGACAAATGGCAAGAGTGGATGCGTCCAAACAGAACCGTTGGATAGTTTTCATGCTCCAGGCTCCAGTGAAAGCACAAGGCCAGGGCCTACAGGACATCACGCTAGAAGTCTTCATCGAGCCAGCGGTGCTCCAGGTGGAGATGCCTATTGCAATGAGACGGTTAGTGCTGCTACCTTTGATGGTTCGATGTGGCACGATGAGCCTGGAGAGGAGATTCAGCGTGTTGCTGATCTAGCAGTTGGAATGAGACAGCATGAAGTGGCGCAAGGCGAGTTTGGAGGGCAACGATCATTTGTTACGTTCAAAGGCCACACACGTGATGCAGCCTTTAGCGCGGAGTATGGCTCTCAGCTAGAGCGATTCTTGGAACTGCTGATGCGAGCAGACAGCCGCTTGGTCGGAGCTGCTCCAGGAAGAATCCACATTGTCGATTGCAGCTTGGGGTTGGAAAGGGAGCTTGGGCTAGATTGTGTGATGGAGGAGGTGCAAAGCCGGTTGATGGACGTGTTGTGCCAGGCAGATCCGTGGGAGACTCGCCTTAAACATGTGGAAACCTTTGCTGCTGAGCACGGCAGGCTTCCTCGGCAGGGAGTTGACGGTATTGATTTTGCCGAAGCAGTGCTGGGAAATTGGTTGCACAACCAAGGGAGAAACTTGCAATTGCAGGTGCTGCCACCTCACCGACTTCACAGATTGCTCAACGCACGGTCGCCTCTCATCCGACATCGAGCCCAGCGTTGGGCAGCTGGCGGCCAGGCTGGTAACTTTTGGCAACAATGCGAAAAGCTGAAGCAGTACATTGAGGTGTTCGGATGCCTCCCGACAAAGACAATTCAAGATATTGAAGGTCCCCATTACAAACTGGCAGCGTGGTTGTATTCATTTCGTTCTACAGGAGCTTATGCATTACCTCAGAGAAGGAAGATGCTGGTTGACATACATCCTCTTGTGAAAGCCTTGGTGCAGAAATGGGAAGAGGCACCCATAGAGGTAGATGCAGCCACATGGCAGGGCAAACTTGAGCAGGTGGAGCGGTTTGTGCAGGTGCACGGGCGCTTACCAAAGTATTCCGACCGATCGACGGGAGTCCAATTCCAATGGTTGGGGAAACAATTTCTGTTGCACCGTCGTGGAGTTTTGCCATCTGAACTGTCAGAGCAACTCCGCCGCTCTCATCGACTGATCGCTGCAGCCTGCAAGAGACGCAGGAAAGTAGGGCGAAAAGATCAAAAGGGTAATAAGTTTCAACGGTCTAGCTCGCAGGCTTGATATCCATACATTGTGGGAGACTCTTGGAAGTGTGGCGCCTCGCTCGCGTGGATTGGGGCCAATACACGTGTCTCCAAACACATCCAAATCCTTCAAGTGAGCTCTCAAACATTCAAAGCAGGTCCTTGGGATCATTTCAAAAGCGCAGTTGGTGTTTGATTTTGCGACCTTTCGACCTTGTGGAACTGCTCATAGGGTCCCCAGAGAGATGGCTGTCCATGGATGCCTTTTGAATCCTTTTGCACTGGATTCATTAGTTTGAGTTTTGAGAAGCAGGTGTCCTGTTGGGACAGGGGTTGGTGAAGCGAACCCGGTAGGAAGCGGAATGGTCATCACAGCCGCACACCAATTTGAGAATCATTGAAGGCCGGTTGATGTTCTACAAATTTTGAGCGAAACCTGTCCACGATATGCCAGATTCATAGAAGCCGATCTATGAAACCCATTGTGACCATGAAATTGATACTTGTGAAATCTTGTGAAGATGATGAGGCACACTTGTGTGATGGAGCCACTATAGTTAACGGCTGATATGGCTGGGAGAGGAAGGCATCAAATCAGCTTGTGGCAGAGCTGGGCTCAAGGTGCAGCTGTGTGATCAGCAATTTGCCCGATTTTTCTGATCAGCGTTCCATGGAGCAACGGCGCAAGCGCAGATGCCGTGCCGCCCTTGTGCTCGGCTTTTGCTGGGTAGTCCGGGCGCGGCTGATGGCTTCAAAAACAGACACCAACTTCGTGGGTGGAAGGGCAAGCCTTGGAGCACCGCACGGGCCGAGAAGGACGCGACCTTCCATTTCTGACCACTACAGTTTTGCTTAAGATCACCTCAACCAACTGCGGGAATTGTGATCAATTATGTGCGCTCAGAAGGCTGCTTATGCTTTTTCTCTCAAGGTTGTATTGTGCTGATTGCAATTGTCAGTCTAACATCCAGTGTTGCTTAGCGCTGTATGAGGACAAGAGGAAGCACTCTGAAGCTCAATGCTGCACCAGGAAAGGCTTCTGCAATGAGACCTTTGGAGGCGGTCAGTGCCTTGTCTCCTTTTTGCCTGATGTTTGGATCCTCAGTTTGCATTCGCATGATTCCCTGAAGCTGTTGAGGTTCATACCCAATACTTCTGAGATAGTGCGCATCGGTGCACATCTCCTTTTTCGACTTGCCACAGCCACAGTGTTTTTGTCAAAGTTTTTGCCCTGCTGGATATGAAGCGTTTTGCCTTTCCCTGGTCTCTTCTCGGGTTCTCCCAAAGCGTGCTATCCGCACTCAGGAACTTACACTAATCGCAACCTTCATTCATTCTCAAGAGAACGGATCTGTCTCAAACACCACTGGTAAGCAGACATGTGATTTTATACACTATACACATTTGCATACAATTGCTTATTGTTGGGTCGGGGTCGTCTCAACTTCCAAATCTTCATATTCCACTTCCACTCTTCGTTCATTTGCGTTGCCTTGAGGCCCAGAGGACCGTGACATCGCCTTCATGGAACGCTTGCGGTGCCTGGCACGGGAAGCGCTCAGCTGGGACTGGCTCACCCAGCGGCAGCGGCTGGTGTGGGGGGCCGTGCTGGAGCTGGATGCCGTGCCGCTGCAGGAGCTCGGATGGGGCATTGGTGATGTGACAGAGTAGAGGTGCCTCAACAGAGACTTTTCTGTATGAGGAATCTTGAGGCTCAAGAAACTTTGGAAACCAACAGTCCTTTTCTTCGCTTGCTTGCGACGGGCATGGTGTTGGAATTGCGCCAAAAGGAGCTTCCACCTTGGTTCCTGGAGCGTGAGAACATCACTCGTAGGCGGCCAGGCACGACCACTGAAGATTGTTGCAACCACAAGTTGTACGTATACAACTGCTGGAAACACTAAACAACTAGAGCTTAGCCCAATGTGGCAATGCCCCAAGCTTCACATAGGGTTTGCTCCATCCACTGGTCGGGTGGTGTATTTCACCACCATGACCTGCTGCTGCAAATCCCCTGCGCAGGTGTCGACTTGCTGAGCCTGGACGGCCAGCGTGCTGTGCGATGTTTGGATGGTGTGGTGCCATTTGCGGAGGTGCGCCGTTTCTTGCGAGTGGCGCGATGGATCTACAAGGCGCTTGGTGCATCAGTCTGTGACCCAACATGCGACAGGATCCAAAGAAGTACGTGGGGAGGCATCTCCCTTGTCTTGCTGCCTATGGAATGGCGTGTTAGTAGGTAGTAGTAGTATCAGTATCAGTATCAGTATCAGTAGCAGTAGCAGTAGTAGTAGTAGTAGTAGTGTAATCATGTGGTTCTTCTGGGTATGGGACAGGCCGACACATACATTGCCCCATTCATCTCTCTGATGTCGGAAGGCTCCTGGCTGCATGCTGGTGACAGCGACCTCGAGACTGTCGAAGCAGTCCAAGGCATGGCTGGAGCGCTCCGATGCCACGCACCGTGTTATGCCAGAGAGGAACCTGCGGAGGCTGGAGCTGGGGGTTTTGAATAATGCAAATTCAAAACGGGTATCTGTTTGGATGCCCGTCTGCAGGCTCCACCTCGACTGTATCTTTCGGAGTTGTTATCTCGCGAAGAGCTTGGTGTGTTCGATGTGTTAGCCCTTCTGGCTGCAAAGGCTAGCTTCTCACGGAAGCTCCTCCATCGATGACGATGCTCCCATCGACGACCCTCCGTTGAGGCAGTGCCAAAGAGACTGCTTGGAGGCGTGCGCGAAGGGCGCGCGGGTCATTGAGATGGCATGTGGCACGGGAAAGACACGTGTCATCAAGGAGATGGTCAAGAACATTTCTGGAAGGGTGCCTTTGCTGATCTTGATTTGATGGAGCTTTTCCTAGTTCCAGCGCAGCACTAGTAACACAAAAGTACAGATGCGACGTCGTTGTTTATCCTCTCCAGCTTTTTTTGCGTTCTGTGAATTCTCCCAGCAGCAGTGACCAGCCCCCCCGGATGGTGAGGTCTTGATCATTGTCCCCCTGCTAGCCCTTCTGGACCAGTTTGCGGCAGACTTTCCTAGCTATTGCAAAGTGGGAACACACCATAATCAGAGGATTGATTTTGAGACTGCAGGCTTCATAGCTGTCAGCAGATCAGCACATTGGCTCCAGAAAATGCATTTCAACTCAATTTTCGTTGATGAAGCTCATCATCCTTTGCCAATTGGAATGCCCAAGTGCAACAAACTGTACCAGTTCTCGGCAACTCACACACATGAGCCAGACTTTAACTACAGCATGGGGAAGGCGATTGCACATGGTATTCTTTCGGACTATGACATTGTAGTGCCCATAACAAGTAAACACCATGCATATGTGTGCCTGGCGGATTTACTTCTAAAGCAAGCGGGGCGTTTTCGACGAGTGCTAGCTTATTGCAACACTGTCGCTGAAGCAAAGCGGTTTCGCATGGTTCTGCAGGACTTGGGGCTAGCCGCCTGGCACATCAACTCCCTGACAAGCCGTACGAAAAGGCTTGCTGTCATGACCGATTTTGCTGGGGACTTGCAGAAACCGGTGCATGTGCTGGTGACCGTGGAGGTCTTGGGAGAGGGGATCAACATTCCAAATGCTGACACTTGCATGTTTGTTGAGCCCCGGCGGAGCTACAGGAGCATCGTGCAAGCCATTGGCCGGGTTTTGCGACTTCACCCGGCCAAGACAATCGCCCACATCGTTCTGCCCGCTGTGGCTCTGGGCAGCCGACCAGCAGAGAAGCAGGAACATCAGTCAAGGGCAGCCTCACCAAGCCATACAGTTAATGGAAGTGGCCAAGTGCGTTCTTCTCCCATGTCAGTTGGCAATTTCAACGGCAGCAGCTTGAGCTTCCAAAACCAGCAACATAAAAGCGAGGAAAGGGGCTTGCGGACATCAGGTCAGGACCAACATTTGGACGCCTGGCGCGTGGGAATCATGGAGATTGGCAGCAAGGAGCACCTAGAGGCCAAAGTTTTAGGAAGGCATAGTGCTTATTCATGTCAAGGGACGGTCACTTTGCCCCAAGCAGGTCCAGCAAGTGATTGCCAACGAGCACTTGCAAAGCAGCAAGTGCGACAGCAGAAAAGCCGGAACTTAGAGTTTAGCAAGTCTGGTAAGCAAAAGGCGTGTTTGACCACTGCAGCTGGCGAAGGCAGGGCTGTGCTTCATGAAGGCAGTCAGTACAGCGAACCCTTCAGCGGGGCAAGGAGCAGTTCAGAGGAAAACACCGATTGCAACGGCCATCCTTCATCTCAAACAAGGACGCCAACATGTCACACGAGCCTAAATGTGAGTGAATTCTTGCAGTCAAACAGCAGTGAATTTCAACAGTTTCCTGATTTCAGAATTCGACGGCTGCCGTGGGATATGAGGCAAGCAGCACCAAGAAAAAAGCAGCAAGTGACTTTTAAGAGCCCTAGAAGTTTTCCTGCCTCCGACCTAGAGTACGACACTCAGGTGGAAACTTTTTTAGCAGCCTTAGTGAAGGCGGATCATCGCTTGGTCGATGCGAGCTCAGCACACAGAATTCAACTGGTTGATTGCAGCTTGGGGTTGGAAGGGGAGCCAAGCGCAGATGATGCGTTGCTAGAGGAGGTCTATGGTCAGCTGACCATGGTTTTATCTCAAAAGGATCCATGGGAGACTCGCTTCAATGATTTGAAAGCCTTTGTTGAACAGCACGGCAGGCTTCCACACCAGAGGAGCAGCAATTTGCATGAATATAGACTTGGAGTTTGGTTGAAGAACCAAGGTCCGCAAGTTAAGTCGCGGCAACTATCCATCCAGAGGCTTCAACAACTAATGAATGCGTCATCACCTCTCATCCGCCGCCGGTTGGAGGGGTGGATCTCTGGCGACCGGGATGGCATTTTCCAGGCGAGATGCGCACAACTTGGACGGTACATAAGGACGCACGGCACCCTTCCTAGAAGCAGTGCGGCTTCACCGCTGGAGCACTGGTTGCAATCGTGTCGAGCCATGGGATCCCTTGCAGTGCGTGCGAGGAGGAAGATGCTTGAGGAAGTGCATCCCTTGGTGTCGGAGCTCCTGAGGAAGTGGGACAAAACTCCAATAAAAGTGGATTTGGCCAAATGGAACGCGCAGTTTGAGCAATTATGCAGCTTTGTCTGCCTGCACCAACGGCTACCCAAAGGGGTAGATGCCGAACGAGGGTTGGATTTGTGGTTTCGGATCCAGCGGCACAGGCTTTCCTGCGGCTCAATGGCACCTGATCTCACAGCCCGGCTCCTTCGCGCCCATCCGCTGATTGCTGCCGCCGTCCGAAACGCGCAGCAGAAGTTGGCTGAGCATTGAAGATCAAGAAACCGATCGGACGTGCCATACGCATTTCTGGCTGAATGATAGACGAGCCACATCCTACATGATAGAATGCGATAGTCAAAGCTCTGGGCCCCCATTATGGCCCCAACATCCAGACCCCTGACATGTACAGTCGAAAAGGGGAAATGTTCTTTTTCTGGCGGCTATCCACTCAGTTCGCTTGAGTCCAGACACCGAGGGCCAGATTTAGCCGGTTTTGACTTTGACCCCATCATCAATGATAGTGATAATGAGCCAGGGGCCGGGGGAGTTTGTTCTTGCAAGCAAAAATTGTGCTCTGCACTCTGACATGCCAGGCCAGTTCTGGTCTAGAGTCTAGAGATTTCCACGGGGGAGGTTGGAAGAGAGCACAGGATGTAGAGAGAGGCCACGTGGAACTGTCTGTCTAACTTAGCTTGACCAGCGTCCACAAATGTTGGATCATTATGTTGGAGCTATTCTGCTTGGAGTGAGAAGAGGTTGAAGGGGTTCAAACGTAGTGGCTTGGAGTGGCTCGGTGCCCTGCACCTTGGGATCAGGGATCCAAATCATTTTTTGCCCGCGCAGTTCTGCATCATTGCCACCATCCACCGCCTTTTGCATTGCCATTCAACACGTGTGCACCATTCGCATTCTCAGGCCTGTGGCCTTTCAGTCTCTCCACTTGGAGCAGTATCTCGGTTTCAGAGCATTCATCGACGTGGCTGACTTCACCTGCAGAATAGTTCCAGGCGTTTGTCCAGGAATGGTGCAAATAGTGACCCGTGCACCCCAAAACTCACGCGAACTCATAGGACTGCAAGTGGGACGCCCCAAGCTCCCTCCCTCCACTTCGAGTTGGTGGGTCTTTCATAATCTGACATGACACCCATCAGCGGCCCCTGAGGTCGCCGAAGAGTGCTGCCCAAGCAACCAGGTGTTTTGTCCTGTGAGTAGTGGGGTGGGGGGCTTCGTGGAGAGACGGAGCGGGGGAATCCCCACTTGGTTGTGGTGGACGAAGCATTTATGAGGCATCAGCACCACAAGTGCGCCTGGTTGCAAAGGCCAAGTTCCTATCCAGGCACATTTTGGGGATCTTGACCATTTCTGTTTCACTTGCGACACTCGCGTGGACATGCGTATAAATGTATAATAGTCTTCAATCCACTTTTGATGAATTCTGCTCGCCCGAGGCCAGGGAAGCCAGGGCGGAAGGAGCCTCGAAGCGGGCCGATCCCTGCCTGGGTCTATGGAGGTGGGGTTGTTCAGCTGGCTAGTGTAGTGTTTGCAATCCAGAGCCCAGTCTTTGCGGTGGCGGTGAAACCACCTGCCAGACCAAATGAGTGATCCTCATTGTAGGACTCTTTGTTCTGCCTCTGAGGCGCCTCACCAGCAGAGTCTCCACCACCCGAAGTGGTTCGGCGGCCTTCCCCCCGTGCATCACCACCCCGTGAGGGCCGCCGCGGGGGCGGTGGTGGGGGACCCCTGGGCATCGCCACAGAGCCTGGGACGTTGAAGAAGGGCTTCGGTGGAGATGCTCCGGGGACGGCTCCGTTGCCTATGGATGAGTTGCAGCAACTGCTGAAGCTGCAGGAGCGGGAAAAGACGCCTAGTCAAGGGACCGGGCCTAGCTGGGGAAGTACTGTAGATTTGTAGCTAGCTTGTTGAGCGAAGCTTCCTCAAAAGCTTGGCGTTTTGGGACGTTTTTGTTGAGCTCATTCTCCTTTCTGCCTTTGTCGCCAATTTGTCACCGTGGTTCTTGACAATTTCTAGAACACTTCTCTTTCGATGAAGTTGTTGCAGGAGCAGCACCTTCAACGAGCCTTGGTTGCAGGTCATCGCCATCCAGCAGTGGGATGTTGGCACGTTCTATTTCGGGTGGGTTGATGGTGGTCAAGCGAAGAGCCTTTGTTTGTGTGCCATCCTTTGCCACTTCCCAAGGACAGGTGCAGCTGCAAGAGCGGCAGTATCAGCTACAAGAGCTACAGCTGCGTCAGCAGGACGGATTTGGGGTCTTAAACACTGACCCGGACCCACCTAACGGAAGAAAACCGGCCCCATCAAAAGCGAGTGTTTCTTTATTGTGCCGTTTCTCGCCCATCCACCCGTGCCGATTTGGGTGGCCAACAAGAGCAATGTCAAAAGCACCCCGGCATTCATCTCAGTCCGCTGCCCATTGCCAATAGGAGCAACAGATTCGAGCCCAGCAGCAAGAGCAACGACAGCACGAGCGACTCCAAGCGATGCGTGGCTTGGAGGGATTACCCGAGAGGGTCGTGTCTGAAGACCCAACGGGGGCCCATTCTGGCAACACTAACAAGGTATGCTGATGATGGTAAGCTAGCAAGAACATGTGCGCTACCCATTACTAATTAGGTTTGCTACTTGCAAAAGATGTTAGATGTGCCCTGTGCCCGCTGGCTTGCATGATTCAGGCGAGAACCTCGAACGCCGGAAGAGGCTCGGGGGGGGGGCGATTGCTCAGGTGCCTCCCTAGTTGGTGGAAGCCGAAGCGCCTCTCCTCAGGGTGCTTTTGGCGGGGGTTCTTCTGTGATTTATAGGGATGCGGGGGTTGGTCGGCGCCGCATCATGGAGGTCCATGGAGTTTGGAGCTAGGCTGCGGTTTCAATGATGTTGAGAGATTTGACGTCAATGAGCGCAATTCATTAGGTCATATTAGGTCTAAGCAATTGAAGACAAATGATCGGTGGCCAACAGACCTGCTGGTTAGGTAGTCCATTTTGTCAACTTTTTGGGTGCGTGTTCATTTAAGGTGCGATCCCTGGGCTTTTGGCAAAATCAGTATCCGGTACCCACTGGGTTTCATCGAATTTTCTTCCATCAGCGTTGCCAGCAGTCCCTCGGTCAGTTTGAGGCACACCCAGATGACGGAGAAAGCAGCCCAAAATCCAAACACCCTCCAACCGCCAAACCAACAGGCAGTGCATGCAGCAGATTGGGACCCCTTCCCATGCTCCTCAGGCCGTCGCTGCCTCCGCCCATCCCGGTGTCT